CTCTGCCTTCCAGTCTCAGTGGGACAATGGAATCCTACTGCACAACTGCCAGCTGGCAGACACAGCTGGCCTGTCACACACACACAGTGCTCACCTTTGTACTTGTTCTCTGCTCTGATGCCCCTGAGCCCCACTCCCCACCTTAAAATGCCACATCACTTCTGCACAGATCAAAATGGAGCTCAGCTCTTTCCTCTGCTCTCAGATGGAATCAAATCTGTTTTCACCACTGCCTGTATGTGTTTGTCTTTGACTCAAGGAGCTGAGGAGAGGGCTAAATTGAGAGTTAGTGTTTAATGAGGACCGAGTTTCGGTTGGAAAGATGAAAACATCCTGGCTGTGGAAGTGGGAATGGTTGCTCAACAATGTGAAGGTGCTTACTGCCACTGAACTGTTCACTTCAAAATGGTTAAAATGTTAAATTTAGCCAGGTGTAATCCCAGCACTCTGGGTGGCTGAGGCAAGAGGATTGCAAATTCAAGCTTGGCCTGAGCAACTTAGTGACTCAGCAGTACTCTCTCAAAATTAAAGGGGCGGGGGATGGTTGGCAGATGTAGCTCAGTACAAAAGCGCCAGGTTCAATTCCCAGTATAGAAAAAAAGGTAAAAATTTTATATTATATCAACTTTACAGTAGTAAAACACATGCAGTATTCACTCTGATGATTGTGGTGATAGATATGAGAACCACACAGGTGATGAAAGTATGTAGCGCACACACACACACACACACACACACACACACACACACGAAGAAAAACTGAGGCCATCTGAATAGGTTCAGAGGATTGCACCAACATCAGAGTACAGACAGGCCTTGCAGGGACTGCTGAGTTGTTGTCAGAGACCACAACCCCACTCTTCTTCAGGGCACACAGCCTTTCATTTCTGCTCTATCTGCCCACTGGCCTCCTGTCTTCTGATTTTGATTTGCCACATGACCTTTCAGTTCACTCAGCTCAATGGTCCAGTTGCACGGTGCCAGGGGTCCCGCGGGTCTGTCCTGCTCAGGTGCCCACCCTGCCCTGGTGCAGTTTGTTGGGCCATGGTAGAGAACAGAGCCCCGTGTGCATCGTTTGCTCCAGTGGGGCTGGGAGGGAACACAGTTCCAGGCCGTCCATGAGCCAACTGGACTTCCTGAAACTCACTGACAGTCGCTGAGGAGGCACAGTAGGACCAGGAAATGTCAGTGCTTTGCCCTGGGATAATCCTGCCCCTCAGATGTTTCTAGTGTTGTCAGATTCTCCCACAGGTATTGTATCAGTGTGGGTCAAGTTCAATTTCCTGAATTTGGTTAGTGAACTGTGATTACATAAGAGATTATCCTGGGCATGATGCTTGCGAACGACTTGTAGATCGCCTAGGGAGAGAAAA